GTGTGTGTGTGTGTGTGTGTGTGTGTGTGTGTGTGTGTGTGTGTGTGTGTGTGTGTGTGTGTGTGTGTGTATGTGTGTGTGTGTGTGTGTGTGTGTATGTGTGTGGTGTGTGTATGGTGGGGGTGTATGTGTGGGTGGGGGGGTGTATGTGTGGGTGGGTGTATGTGGGGTGTGTGTGTGTGTGGTGTGTGTGTATGTGTGGTGTGTGTGTGTGTATGTGTGGGTGTGTGTGTGTGTGGGTGTGTGTATGTGTGGGGGTGTATGTGTGTGGTGGTGTGGGTGTATGTATGTGTGGTGTGGGTGTATATGTGGGTGTGGTATGTGTATGTGTGTGGGTGTGGTGTGTGTGTGTGGGTGTGTGTATGTGTGGGTGTGTGTATGTGTGGGTGTGTGTATGTGTGGGTGTGTGTGTGTGTGGGTGTGTGTGTGTGTGGGTGTGTGTGTGTGGTGTGTGTGTGGGTGTGTGTGTGTGTGTGTATGTGTGTGTGTGTGTGTGTGTGTGTGTGTGTGTGTGTGTGTGTGTGTGTGTGTGTGTGTGTGTGTGTGTGTGTGTGATGTGTATGTGTGTGTATGTATATGTATATAAATGTATGTGTATATATATGTATGTATATATATATGTATGTGTATATATATGTATGTGTATATATATGTATGTGTATATATGTATGTGTATATATGTATATATGTATGTGTATATATGTATGTATGTGTGTATATGTATATGTGTGTGTGTGTTTGTATGTGCGTTTGTGTGTGTGTATGTGTGTATGCTCGAGTGTGCTTGTTTGAGCTTGTGAGTGCTTATTTGTGTTTGTGGGTGTGTATGTGTTTCTTAGAACTATACTAAAATTGTGTGTTTGTGTGTTTGTTTGCAAAAATCAAAAAGCCTGCCTGATTTACAAATATTACAAACATATATCATCTACAAGAAGCTACAAATATTACACATAAAAACAAGAAATATAAAAACAGTATTATCATCATCAGTAGAATTAATAATGTTAATAATGATACTGGCTATAATAATGCCAGAAAGTTTTCTTTAATACATCACAGGGTGAAACAAGCAATGAAGCATGCAAACTGATCATACTGAACAAAGCAGAAGCCAAACATGCAAGCTATACAGCACATTTTTTTTTTTTTCTTTAACCCACTTTAACCCGAAAAAATAAACATTACTAGCTGACCCCCCCAGTGCAATGCTAGATTGGAGCTTGTGCTCTGATTGTGTCGCCCATGGTGTGCAGCGTGCAGGCTGGTTCCCGGACAGACCCACACACCAATTTTGATACCGCCCAGAAACCATGATGATTGGCTTCCAAATGGACTATCACTAGTGGGTTAATGTTAACCTGATGGTAATAGACCATCTTTCTTGCACAGACTCCACCTTATCCTCTCTTTAAGTAGTCTATAACTCAGTGCAATAACATCATTAGGTTATATTTTGTTATTTCTATCATTTTTTTATTTTCATATCATTAAATATTTGGATACAGCCTACACTGCTAATCATGGCAGGATAAGGATCCTGAGCATAGTGTCTTCTCTGTAGTCAGTGCTCTTCTAGTCATAGCTCATTCCTTACTCGTTTACCAGTGGATATACTGCAAGAGCTCCTTCTTAACCCTTTGGATACAGTTGCATCACAGAAATCACAGAGCGTGGCCAATATCCCGGGTGAGCAGTGCATAGGCCAGGTGCACACAGACACCCATGAGCTGTAACAAGACTTTGTGCCTTCCCTTTGAAAAGTTATTTTGTGTAAACTTTTTTAGCTTTATCACCATTTCCCAATATCCATATTTGTCTTTTGATTTGCTTTATCCAGATGGTAATTACTTATTTTTCTTGCACAAACTCTATCTCTCTATGTAATACATAACTCAGTGAAAAAAAAAAAAAAAAAAAAAAACAATTGGTTATTTGTGTCATATATGGGCAGCATGGAAATGGCAATCTCTCTGGATCTGGCGCTTTTCCTGTCACTGCTTACACAAGTTACATTTCACATTCATTTATCAATGGGAATAATGCTAAAACCTCCTTCTAAGCGCCAAATGAGTCAAATCACGCTCCAAGAGGTTTGTATACTCGTGGCGAGTCTTTTCCGTCGCCCTGGCCTTTGCTCAGGATGGCAGTTTGCGCCACCCGGGCCGCGCCCAATTTGCCTGGTAGGTTCACGTCACCTAAGCGGCTGCTCAAGTTTTTCCTTGGCGTGACTACAGTGTTATCCAGATCCAAGGGGTTAAATGCCCACTGAATCTAATAACTTTGTGCACCACAGCCCTCTGTCAAATTTTTCCATAAAGGTATATTTCTCTTTACCTACCAATCTACAAATATCTGTACATGTATATATATTTGCAATTTGATTTTAAACCAATTATATACATGTCTACCTACACACCTACACCCACAGATACATACACATACACATTAATGCATTTGCACATGCACATACACATATATATACACAAAGACTATTTTTTTAATATATATATAAAATATACAAAATACATCTATACATATATGAATAGATGTTTAAATGGCTGTATATACCATCTATATAAAAGAGAGAGTGAGAATAATCCCTAGAGAAGTGATGCTTACTGTAGTATTGTTTTGTGAAATTGTCTCTACACACAGGTGGCACCACAAGTGCTAAGCCACCAAGGAGTCAATTACTTGTCTATGTGACCTCACCTGATTTCTGTATTCCTTGAGTTTTCAGGAAATATTGATTTTTACTATTGCTAGTAATACTGGTGATGCTGTTATTACCATTAACATTATAATCATTACAGTGTCATTAACCCACTAACACGGGTATATTTTGAAGCCGAAAATAAAAGTTTCTGGGCGGCTACAAAATTGCTGCATGGGGCTGGCCCAGACTCTGCCCGATACATTGTCACATTGGCAGGACACCCAGCAATTTTTTTTTCTGGGTGTCTCATATGTGGGACACCCATCGTTATTGGGTTAACAAAATTAATAGTAATATAAAATAAAGTAAAGGGATAAACCAGTCAGACAGGACGAATTAGTAATTCTCATTGGTGACTATGCAACTGTAAAGACAATTTATAAACTGAGCTTGTGGGCATGACATGTATGTACATGTCATCCCCAGTAAAAGTGGGTTAACTATACCATCTGAATAGATTACGATACAGGCACTAGACTTGACTGACTGTGATACTGTTAAAAGGATCTATCTGCAATGCCCAACTCATTCATGGTAGGAGGAGAAACTTCTCTGCTTGGTGTGTCTAACTGCTTTCTATGTGCATTTGAGAAGTGTCACTATGTGCTAAAAATACCTGAATACAAAGTATCTTGTGCAATGGACTTTAATAGAAAAAAAAATCCTAAATATCCATTTCCCTACTTTACTGTGTCAACAAGTGCTATATAAGCATGATGCTTTATCCTTATTTCCAAACAAGAAATATAAAAGTTTTGTGAGTAAACTATAATAAAAATGTAAATCATCATTATTAGCATATATATCTATAATTTTTCTTCCAACCATGAATGAGTAAAGGATGTAATATCTGATACTACAGTATTCATATGTTATGCTAAAACAAAAATAAAACTGCCACAACATATATCAATGGATCCTAATGCTCACACTCATACACCTAACCTAATAAAGACAAAAGCAGAGACTTACTAAAATTTCTCCACCAATATTCAAAAAACTTAAATGTTATGCAAAAACAAAAAATATTATTAATATTTCATGACATTTATCCGCAGTGACATGATGTTTATCATTAATTTCATTTTCTTTCACATTTTCACCCCACATCCTTTGCATAAACAAAACTAAATTATTGCAAATAAACACAACTTACCTAATAATTGTAGGCCCTTCATAAGTATGAACAAATCATTAAATGACTCCCTTGTATATAGATGCAAATAGCAACAGTGCAGATACACTGTTAACCAATAAATGAAGCAATTTTAGGAAACAGCATTAATGCAAGAATGTGGGACGAAAAAGTATGATTTCTTCATGCATTATAAATCAGACTTAAATAGCTTGACAGATGTAAGAATGAAGAATCCTGAGAGGGAGAAATGGAGAGCAACTAGAGCAAAACCTTATCTTTCTCTTACTTTTATAAGGTTATACGGATAAGACAAAAGCCATATTTGCTCTCTATTGCTCTCCCTCACATTCAACACTTTTTTCAAACTCATTTTCCCTTTCACATTCATTGTGTTTCAATTTCCAATCATCCATTCAGCTGATCAAGCATTCATTTATACACAGACTCCTTGTCCAACTCACAATCAATCCTCCTGTCATAGATTCCCCTTCTTTTACTCCTATTTTGTTACATTCACATAAGACTGCTGCACCCACCCCCACTGAGTCATCCTCCCACACACTCCCTTTCCCATAACTACATACATTCACTCTCCTACTTCTACCCAACTCCCCCTTTTGCATATTCCTACTTATAACCCAGTGGTTATATCTATATCATAATACTGAAAATATTTATGTAACAAACATATATGTTTATATAAACTATGTAGAATATAGCAATAGACACAAGATATCATTAGAATACATATCTTAGTAGTATAACTTAAGATATACTTGGGTTAACATACATATTTTCTCTAATATGGGTATAGATATAGATGAGTTATGTCAATTAGTGACTCACCCCCTTTCCCACTCCTATAACCCAGTTACTCATCCTACCCCCCCCCCCCCCCCCAGTCAACAAATAAACAGTTAATCAGACACACAGTTAAATGAACCAACAAACAAAAACAAAACAAACAAACAAACACTCCTTCTCTCATTTTCATGTAGTCACCCTCTTATAAATTTATTAGCCACTCAGTCCCCTAATATATACTACCTCTCCAATTCCCTTACAGTCACTTTCTCCCTCACTTCCACTCTCCCTCTAATACCAAAGTGCAAGTGTTAACTGAAAAGATGAGGAGGGCATCAGTAC